GGAAATCCGGATACTTGAGACCACGGTGCATAGGTTAAAGTCACAGCTAAGGGGAATGTGCATTAAACGTGCTCGGAGCCTGCCRGAGCATCGCTGCCCGAGGAGCGGAGCAGGCACCTTAATTGCAGCCTCCTCCCAGGGCAGGGGAGGCCAGCCTCGCTGCACAAAGGCCACGCTCAGCTGCGGATGACTCATTCCTCGTGCTCAGCAGACATCTCATCCCATCTCGCAGCCCGGGATTACTGCAGTGCCAGCCCGTGCGAGGCAGGACTCGGCCGCAGAGGTAACGAAGGCACCTGCAGAGGTTTGCGCAGCAGCACCAAGACCCCGCGTGAGCTCCGACCCTCCACGTTGGCAGAGCATTCCCGCTTTCCTTGCGGAAAGGGGCGCTTACGGCAGCTCCCAGTCAGCYGGTCAATCCAGCAAGGAATGACAATTGTGTTTCCAATTAGGGAGAGCAGGTGAGGACACGCAGTCTGCATTGCAAAAGGAAAAAAAGAAGAATTTGGTGCCTGCTGGAGGTGCTTTCCCCAAAACTGCATGCAGCTATTTAAAAATTATAGATATATTTTCAAACACACAAAATACAATTGACTGCTTCATGCGTTGCTTTGCACGAACACCCAATGAGTCTCAGAACGAGACACAGAGAAGCTGCTGAAGGCATTGCCTCCAAGTGTAAGATYTCCTCAAACAGGTAATGCCCTCACCTAAAGGCAACTTGATTTATGGAGGTATTTATAGGAAGAATTTGCTTATTTTGCAGCTACATTTGTATAGCAATTTTCTGGAAGCCCACAAACCCCTTAACTTTCCCAGATAGGTCTCTTGCTTGCAACAAACAGCTCTAGGTGGAGGCGCATTTGAATCTCATCTAGTACCAACCCGTTCCCCCATGAGGGACTTTCTCCTTCAACAGTTKCCACATTTAGATTACTTTAGATCAGGATCTTAATGAAGATGCGCTTACCATCAGCGAATCTTAAGTTCACATCAGCAGCTCTTAATGTAAACAACCAGCCAAGGTTTGCAGGCACCCAGGTTTGGGAGAGGGACTGTTAGGGGAAGATCTGAGCCTCCAGCTCCATCACCACATGAAGCAGCAAAGCCCATGGATATTGAGATAAAGCCCCATGGGCATCAGGACAGGTCTCTTAAGTAGTTGTCCTGCAGGAAAGAGAAAGCAGATGGGAGCACAAACCTTAGCATAGCCCTGAACTGCACCAAAACCAAGAAAACTCATGGGTGAGTTCTTCAGAGAGTCGAGGAATGACTTGTTTGATCTCTTACACACATCTGAAATTCTTTCCTTTTTAAAATTCAGGCCAAAAAGGAGGTTTGGCACATGAGAAAAACGTAACTTCCCTCTGAGCGACGCTGTCCCACGGCCCAGCTTCCAGTGGCGGGATGTAAAGCTAAAGCCTCCCAAGAGGGGAGGATCCGCGTGCCCGAAAGGGGCAGCGGGGGAACACAGGCTTTGCAACACAAAGCGGAGGAACCAAATCTCCCTCCAGGAACCGGACCAAGAACGAAGGTATCGGGGCAATCACTGGTTGAATCCTCAAGGAACCCACGCTGCCTCCGAACACCAATGGCCGCATCCATTTGTGCCAGGATCTCTATGGAATCTTGGCCACCTGCCCACTCGGTTCCTTTCCTATTGCTCTCCTGGGATCGCTTTAGTCTTAGCACAAGCGAGGAATCAGTTCTGCTGCTGTTTAAGTGGTATCTGCACCTCCCCCAGAGTGCTTCAACATTCAAGCTTTTGGAGGACAGGCTTAAAAGCATTTATTCCTGAAATGTCCCTTCTCTGCCTTTATCACTCAAAGTCAATACACGAGCACCTCCTCACTGCCTCCGTGCACACCGAAATCCAGCGCATTTCCCGCCCTGCAACACCCATTTGGGTGGGTTTCTTGCAGTGGGTTAGACATTCCCTTCTGTGCACCAGGAGGAGGCAGATGCATTTGACTCGTAGGAACTGTCTGGCTTTTAATTTACCTCTCGTCACATTCAACAGAGAAGTGAAATGCTGCAACGAAACAACGAAAAAGCAAGGGAAGAGCTTACTGTTACGGCTACCACTTCTTTTGAGGCTCGTGTTTATCCCTACCCCTTTCTTTAACTGACTTCTTTGGGTAGGAAGAGGGCAGCTCTACACCCTTCCAGATGGCTCCTGGCAAGAGAAACATATTTCTTTGAACTTAATGTATGGTGGGGCTGAGGGGGACCCTGCTGCCCGCAGCGTTGTGACACGGCRGAGGACGGGTCACTTGTGCGCGTTGTTCGACATCAAAGAAGGGCTYGGAGCACGATGCAAAACGAAGAGCTGCAGGGGGTGGGAAAGCAGGCCTGGTCTGAGTGCYGGCGCTGCCCTTTATTCTGAAAGCCATTACCGACACTCGCTCGGCAATCTGCTCCCGCTCCCCCGGCGTTTCCAGCTGATTTCAGGCAGCGGAGCGGCGTTCCCGTCCCGTACGTGCTGGCTGCAGGCACCCGCAGGCCAGAGCTGAACAGAGCTTTTCTGAAAGAACTGCAAATAATTGCAGATCTCCCCTGCAAAAAGGCAGGGAAGAGTCACCAGTGCATGTGCAGGGAACGGCAGGAGCTTTGGTTCCTGTCGTCCGCGCTCCGGTTGCAGCTCCCTCCCCGCRCACTGTCCGAGGGCAGCAGGTTGGCAGGGCCAGGGAAAAGGAGAAGGGAAGTTGAGAGCAAAGTGGCATCGCTCACAGGTCCTTGGAGCCTCCTCAGCTCCAGCTCACGGACAGCACCGTGCCTGGAGACTTCAGCACTTGAACCAGCTGAAGACAACTTGGAAAACATGGGAGGATGATCGAGATTCCAGAAGGGAGGGACAACACTGGGATCATCTTAAGAGTTTCCACCTAGCTTCTAAGGCACGTACCCGAAGCTCGCACGCAGTCCCTGCTCAGAGCTCAACAGCATTTTCAAACCRGCATGTCTGAATTTTCCCAGATCCGAATCCTCCCGACCCGGCACTCGCCGCTTTAGGAGTTTAACCCGAAGTGAACGGTTGAAAACGTTGCCTTTCTTTTGCTAGACAGGGAAACTGATCCCTAAGAGMAAGTGGAAATTGGACAACGCTTGCAAAACAATTACAATGCTTCTAATGAGATTTACGAAGCGTCYCTTCTGCAATGAATCCTCCCCTATTGAATCTGACTAGATGAGTTTGAGGAGCACGAGGGAAAGGAAGACATTCCTGCAGAAATCCAATAAACTTGGCGGCATTCTGGAAGTCATATAAAATTGCCTGGAGCTGATAATACCATCAAGTTGTGAACTGGAACTAGTGGAATTGCTACCATAACCATTCCTTGCTCCTCATTTGAAATTAAGCTTTACTGTTTCCACAGTGCTGCAGAAGTTAGTTATATCTAAGGAAAGAAAATGTAATATGAAAATAAGCAAAGTACCAGAGTTTTACAGTAAGCAAACTTGAATTTGAGTATTTCTTTCCCAGTGCCCATCACTCCCCTCCTTCACAGCGAATTGATGCACCAATTAAATGTTTAGGAATGGCAGAAAACACCCTCCTGGCTGTCTGGTCTGCAGAACAGCTCCAYGTTCATTGCCAGGCAAGATCATCAGGATTAGAACAAATCAAAGTTACTATTTTTGTCAGCACCCACCACAATCTGATCCGATCTGCCTCTCGGGGGGATTTCTAGCATCTAGGAGCACACTGGAAAGGCGACGCTTCATTCGGATACGGACACCCTCCTCCTGCTGCATCTTAGATGAGCTTTATGCCGAGAAATTCAGTATATCTCCATATTCTCCCCATCTTTCTATGCCAAAACAGCCTCCTAAAGAGCTCTCCTGTCTGGAAAGCCCTTCCCTCCTCAGGGAAGGTTCCTGCCGTGYCCGTGATGCCAGCTCCGGGTCACCGGAACATTTGGGAGCACGTGGACCTGCTCGCTTCCCGGCCAGGACGGCTCTTCTCTTTCAGACCGATGCATCGCGTGCCAAAGAGCGGAGCTCATTCCTGACCTGCGTGAGAAACAGGTAAATGGGCCGAGTAAAGCACACATGGAGAAGCAGAAATTTGGAGACCGAATTATCCCTTCCCCAGTGTCAATTAAGCAGCCAACGCAATTATTTTGTACCCACTTTTGCCTTAGGGAGGCTGAAAAAGATTAGATGGGGGCTCAGAGCAGCCCATTCCCCCCGAGGCTGCTGAGACTAGGGACGTGAGCCCTTTGCATTTACTCCTGCTCTGAAGAGCTGAGTTTTCCAGGCAGACGGGGGAGCGGGCGCTGCACCCCGAGAGCCCCGCAGCACACAGGGATGGGCAGGGARCGACGGCGAGCGCTAACGAGCTCACCCCCATAACGAAGACTGAACATAACSGGACGGGAGAGGAGGCCCTCAAGGAAAGGTGCCCAGGACTGCAGAATTAAGAGCTTCAAAAGCTTCCACTTAAGTATCTGGAGCACACGCTGCCCTTCAACATAGCCCCCAGCTCTCCCATCACTTCAGCAATCAAGTGGTTTCACCCACAAAGCTCAGTTTAAGTAGGCATTAAATCCCAGGGCGGTGGCTTAAGCAGCAGGCCCTGAAGGCAGGAGGCGGCCCCGGGCGAGCAGGCAGGAACGGGCGGCAAGGCGCAAACACGGCGGCTGCGACCGCGCCAGGGCCTGCGCACGGGCTTCCAAATTGGGCGCCCCAAGAGCAAGRGCCTGAGCAGCTGCGGGGAGGGAAGCTGAAAAGCGAGTTTCCAATGGCCTTCAAGGGACTATTTAGCACAAACCCTGTCCAGCCACGTTCAAATACTGCTGTGAGAGCCCCCTGTTCTTCCATACAGTGGGAAAGCATCAACTGAACGCTCGCCAGGCAACAGTTTTCAAGCRAGTGTCAAGCACCAAGTGGGACTGAAACTCGAAGGAACCTCCTTTTACTCCAGAAGCATCTCAAGATCTGGCCGGTTAACGGGAGGGCACGAGGACTGAGGGAGTAAATTATTCCTGAATCTCGAGATGGCTCCTGTACAGGTTGTCATCACTCGTCTCCGCTATCCGTACAGCGGCGATAAGGTGCGAGCTGCAAAACCCAAGTGTGCAAGTCAGGCCCAGCCAAGTATACATTCCACACTGCCYGCATATAAGACAGTTTTTAGGCAGCATTTTCCCAAAATCCTTAAAATACTTCTGCCCTGGAAAACACAGAAACAGACCTGAGCTTTTTCCTGTGTTAAATGCAGTTCTTGCAGYCAGGAGCTGCCTTTGGTGGCAGAGCTTTTCCCAACATAATGTTTTGAACGCAGGGTCACATCCMCAGGGCAGAATATTCAGGTGTGAACCTATCCCGGGACAAAGCTCTCCATTACCTCAAACYCTCTCCCGCGAGCAGTTACATCTCAGTGGTAACTGATGACACCCGTGGAGCTGGGAGGATGCTGCGGTTTACAGCTTCCCCCCACATGCTGCTCCGGGGRGCGGGAGCAGAGCCTGCTTTCCCACCTCGTTCCCAACTTTCCAGAGGAATTTCAGATAAGAAGAACAAGCCAAGCACGCACGAGCTGTGGGATAACACCCGCATCTCTAATTCCCACAAGGACTCCTGTAATATCCAAGACGAACGCCTTGTGGAGCAGTTATGGTAAACACGCAGGAACAAGAGCGGGCGACACGCTTGCGCACTCCCAACTGAAACGCAGTATTTACCTTCCTAAAGTTGCCTTCCAGGTTCAAGCTCCTCATTAACCTCAACAGCGGAGACTGGCCCCGTTTATTTTTGCATCGGAAAAGCTCGTTACGGACGATGCAAACCAGCCGGCACGCGCAGAGCAGGCGCTTCCCGGCACGGATTCCACGGCTTAGGAACATCGCTTGGCAAGGGGGGAAGCCCGGGCACGTTTCTAACCCCGGGGACCTCATTTCTAGGCTTGACGGGACAATGCGGACTCGCGGGAGCAGCTCTCCTTCGGCTGAGTCGGTTCGAGGGCCATCCGAAGAGCGTCACCTCCTCCCAGCCGCAGGGCCAGAACGACAGCAGCTTGCTTTTTAACCAATTCTCGTCTTTCTAGGTCTTTTCGTTGAGTGAAAAGGAATGTCAAGGACATCCTGTTTCATTCTTTCCGTCAAGCATTTCCTCTAGCCTCRGTCGGAATTACCCCCCAAAAGCCGAATCGAGCGCTCAGCACGTACCTGCTCCAAGCCCGTTGTGTTTTCAGCTGTTTCCAAGGCAGGGATGAGCTACAGGAGCCCAGACACGCGCCCCCAGACTCCTCCAGGCTGAAACGAGGCTTTACAAAGCACCCGATGCCACGAGAGGAACGCAARTCATTTGTAGGCACATAAAGTAGTTACTAGAGACGCACCAGGACAMCCCGAAGTCACCCGCAGGAGACCGCAGCGCGAATCGAGGCCCTCTGAAAGCCTTGCCCCCGAGAGCCGGCACGTCACCAGATTTAACTCTGCCCCGGGAGAAACAGCAGCCTGAAAAACACTGGAAAGAACCAAACGCCACGTYGGGGGCCTCGCAGGCCTCTATCTCGGTCATCTGCTGGACTTCACAGTCCTTGCAACAGAGCCAAGACTAGATTGCAAAACTTCCAAGTCCCCAGAGGTCACAGCTTTATCAGAACCCTCTTCCTGCTTCCTTGAGAAAGGCGATTTCTGCAATGAAGAGCAGTAGGGAAGGGCCTGGGAAGGCCCTACGTGTCCCCGCACGGGAAGGCTTCGGGCCTCGCCCAGCACTAGGCTTCTTTAATCGGATTACACTTTAAAACCAGACGTTTTGCTCTGTGACGCTAAACTTGAAAGGATTTCTCCCGGTGTCCTAATTAGGATGAGGCAAAAATCATTCCAGCTAATTTCCAACCCACCCCAGCCCTAGATTTGAAAGACCACCAGTGATATTTTCTGGCTTGTTTGGCTTGGGAGTCTGAAAAACAGCAGGCAACAGGATTAGATACAAGTCTAATGAGATAATGTATTTACACAATATTTATGGCCCTCACTTTTAGCCCAGGTTGTGTTGTCGTATCCTTAGCATGCAGCACTGCGGATGCTCCCTTTAACCTGGAAAAAGCTCAAGGTTTAYTCTTAAATTTAATTTCCCTTTAAAAGAAACCAGGCGCTTGAACAACAAGCTATGGGTGCTCACGTAATACAAGTTTCCCAAGCCCAAAAGACATGAACTCAGCTCCAGCTTTGCTTAAACTCTATAACCCGGACTCTTCTGCAGAGCTTGGTGGGAGCCTTACATGCACACCCTAGTTTTAAAAGCAGCTTCTTTGGTTATTTTTTTAACATGCAGCTGCTTTCAGACCTAAGTACCCATTTTATTCATTAACTCTTCATGTTAATTGGTTAACCCAGAGCGAGGCGGGTTGCATCAGCAAGTCTCCTGCCAACAGACCCGTGTGTACACACAGGCCCTGCCCTCGGCATCGCGGGGCCTCCCGAATATTTAAGCCTGCGTTTATTAACATGAGGAAAACAGCTAGATGCATCGGAAGCGGGGGATGCATGGACTAAACTCCAGGATGCTGCTGGTGAAGGCAGCAAAGGTGAGGATGTGCCCTGTCCAAACGGACACGGTGCATAAGACAAAAGAAGAGCTTTGAACCAAGCTCGTGGACAGGCATCCAGGTGCCCTAGGGCAGTTTCTTCCAGGACCCAGATGTCTGTAAAAGCTTTTCCCCGGCACACGCCACTACCCAGAGCCCAACTAGCCCCAGGTCCAGCTCCGGTGCAAGGGCAAAATCCAGAAAATCTAGCTGGGAAACTCTTGTGTTGTCCTCCAAGGCCACCTTGCTCCAAGTAATGCAACGAAGGAACCGCCCGATAAACCTGGGGCATTTCTGATGCAAGTCCCGGTCGCCTCGCGACAGCACAGAGCCATTTGTTTAACGCAGCCAAAACGGCGCGCTTGCCACGACAAACATCCAGGCGACGAAGGCGGAGACGCTGCCCRCCTTCGAGCAGGACGATCCTGCTGCGCGCGGGACGGCGGCAGCCGGGAAGCTGCAGGCTGGGCTGCCCTGGCGCAGGAACGAGGCCGTGCGCACACCGAGCACCAGCTTCTTCCCAAGCAAAACTGACGCCTTTTGCCCTCCTTGACATTAATTRAGGGTTTTACCCCTTCATTTGTCCACTGAGGATTTTCCCTTTGCTGACAGCTACAGTCCCGCTGCACTCGCACTTCATTTGATGTTTTTTGCCCTTCTGCAGARAAACTGTATTAGGAGTCCGTTGCTATAGCAACGTCCCAATCCTGACCAGYTGTATTTTTACCGGATTCTGTGCAAGGGAATTTATCTCATTTCCACGACTAAGCCCTGCCCCGGGGCGAGCTCCTCAGGACAGGCCCGGCGCCGCRTCCAGCCGGGGCAGGGAGCCGTCCCCGGTGCCAAGGGCAAGGAAACGGGGCCGTGGTGCCCACGTCACGGCTCTCACCTCAAATCAAGGGGACGCTCCGCTCGAGACGATCCCATCCCTCGCCAGGACCTGAGGGCTGCAGCGGCRCCGCCAGCCCCGCCGAGAGGGGTAGGTGCAGTCTGTAGATACAGGYATAATCTGCAGGTATCACCTCTCTTCATATCGCATCTTTCACTCATTTCTTGTCTTTCCTGCTTGCTCTCCCTTTAATTGCACCACAATAATACATTWCATTAGAAATATCAAGTGAGATTGATCACTGATGAACATCATCATCAGATGAACACTGTTCCTTGCTCCATTGCTCCCCATATATCACAGAGAGCTTCCCACGCTCATCTTTAGAAGCTGCTCTCTGCCAAACCTCTCTAACCAGTGGGCAAGTTTAGCTGCAACACTCAAATATCACTGTGAAACCCCAAAACTTTTCCGTGAGCACCCAGTGTCCAGCTGACACTACTCCACAGAGCTCCTGGTTTTGAGCGCAGCACGTGGGATGGAGCTGCTCGGCAGGACATTTCTTTGGTTTCAGGTCTGCAGAAAGGATCGTGTCTGCGGAAGTGAGGGTGTCTCACTGCCCTAGTGCCTCCTGCTTATTTGCACACATTCCTGTGGTTGTGGTCCCTAAATTCCTACGCACAACTCAGTAGCAGGATACCAAGTCAGGGTGCACGGATCAAAAAGCCACGGGAGACCYCCCAACCTCCTGCTCAGTCCACTGAAGCCCCACAAACATCACTAGGCAAACAGGACAAGCCCTTCCCTCTACTCAGCTCTGGTGAGACCGCACCTGGAGCACTGTGTTCAGTTCTGGGCACCCCAGTATAGGAAGGACGTGGAGCTTCTGGAGAGGGTCCAGAGAAGGGCAACCAGGATGATTAAGGGAATGGAACATCTCTCGTATGAAGAGAGGCTGAGTGAGCTGGGCCTGTTTTCTCTGGRGAAGAGRCGGCTCAGAGGGGATATGATTAATATGTATAAGTTCAGGAAGGGAGAATGCAGGGAGGAAGGGGACAAGCTGTTCTCACTGGTGGCCAGCGATAGGACGAGGGGTAATGGCCACAAGCTGAAGCACAAGAAGTTCCGTCTCCAGGTGAGGAGCAACTTCTTTACTGTTAGGGTGACAGAGCAGTGGAACAGGCTGCCCAGGGAGGTTGTGGAGTCTCCTACTCTGGAGGTCTTCAAAACCCGCCTGGATGCCRCCCTGTGCCACATGCTCTAGGTGTGCCTGCTTGAGCAGGAAGGTTGGACTAGATGRTCTGTAGAGGTCCCTTCCAACCTTAAATATTCTGTGAAATATTCTGTGAATTCTCCACAAATTGCTCAATGCAGCTCCTTATTGCAGCATAAATGGGGTGAACCCTGGAGTCCTCAAAATGCAAATTTCCAGGAGCCGCTTGGCGTTCTAACCAAACCCCGAGAGCGCCCGACTCAACCACTCCCGAACACCAAAGACCCCCTCAGCGGTCCAGGTTCCTGCAGCCACTGGGAGTTTCCCGGCAGCCTCGCTCGGGCCCGGAGGGGAAGGCAACAGCCCCAGCTGGTCCTGGGGCCGGGACTCTCGGGGTCTTCTCTTCAGCCGGACACATCAACACCCCTCCTGCCGCGTCCTCGCCCGCGGTCGCCACGCCGAAGCATTTGGGTGCTAC